ATAACATTTTGAGGCATGTGCAGGATTGAATGTTCTATGTGGAGTTGGAATACTATCAACGCCTTATGCAGCCAAAGAAGGAGGATGGTTGGGACTAATAATACTATTCCTATATGGTCTTCTTTCTTTCTACACCGGAATTCTCCTTCGTTACTGCCTCGACAGTGAGTCTGACCTCGAGACCTATCCCGACATTGGCCAAGCAGCGTTTGGTACTACCGGACGTATCTTTGTCTCGGTAAGGGACTATATTTTGTTCTTTTTCTTCAAATACTCCTTTCTAGTGAAAGGTTAAGTTAAGGACCACATAGAGAAAATAATTGATTAAGAAAACTGAATGAAATATACACACAAGATCCCCACAAAAAGAGAATTGCCTTTTGGCCTTCCAACAAATCAACCAACTCAAAAGCCAAGGACAACAAATTTTCCCCTTTTTTGTTTCATGTGTGAGCTTGATTTGAATTCTTATGGAAAATTTACTATCACAACTTTGTTGATGCAATTATATTGTTATCAGAAGTCAATAGTAGAATCTTATGAGTTACTAATAAATTCCATTAACAAAACTAAAACTGTGCTTAATCACCTTTAGTAGTGGAGTTTGATATCATTAACTTTCACTTTAAATTAATTTTTTTTTGTTCGGTTTTGTTTTATGTATTGCAGATAGTACTCTACTTGGAGCTATACGTAAGTATTTCTTGCAAATTGACTTAATTTATATTTTATAAATATAAAGCACATTACTCTTTTTGTCAAGAAAAGTAGAGTACATAATCGAAGAGATTCCACAAGTGGTGTTAAAAAAAAAAAAAAAGAGATCTTTTAAGTATGTAGAATCCATGACCCCATGTTGTGGAACACGTTAGAAGAGGGCCCCATTAGATTCTCCAACTAGTTTATTTCTAGCTTTTGGCACTACCTGAGGCTGTTTTAAACTTTTTCTCTTTATTTACATTTGTTCCTTCTTAAAGCTGCTTTTGACATCACTAAGGAGGCAGTGATAATATATTTTTAGATGGTATGATTTCTAAAAGCTACTTAGTGTGAAATGATTAGTTGAATAGTGTGAATTTCTGATAGTGTAGTTTAGAAGTTAACTTGTTTTTGTATTATAGGGTCTTTGTTTCTTACATAATCTTTTGTTGCACAATTGATGTAAAATGTGTCTCATTGAATTCAGATGTTACTTCAATTGAAATGAGTTATAAGTACATGATTGTGTTCTTTTCGCAGGCGTGTTGTGTGGAATATATAATATTGGAGAGTGATAATTTGTCTTCATTATATCCAAATGCTGCCTTAAGTATTGGAGGATTTGAGTTGGATGCTCGCCATCTCTTTGCATTGTTAACCACTCTCGCTGTTCTTCCCACTGTTTGGCTCAGGGATCTCAGTGTACTGAGTTATATTTCAGGTGTGTAATTTTGTTTGATAAAACCTTATAGGAGATACTGATCATATTTAGTCGAAAACGCCTCAATAAACCCGTCTAGATATGTCCCTGACATAACTATTTTGTTTAAATTTTTTCAGCTGGAGGAGTGATTGCATCGGTGCTAG